CTCTCTCCAGCATGAGTCACTGCTGCGCTTTCTGTTGTGATCTGATCTCATACAGAGGCTCTGATCTCCACTAACTCACAGGCCTCTAACTTGACACTGGCCTCTGTACATTTAATCTGTAGGCTGTCTGGTAAATTGTCTCCCTGTGCTGGTTGATTATTTATCAGAAATGCGGTTGTTGTCATGTCATGTGACTATCTCTCTTGAATTCCTTTGTGTTCTGTAGTCTTGTGACTTACCTAATCTTGTGGGCTCTGTCGATTACCCCTGGGGGGCTGTCCTCACCTGATCATTAGCACATCTACATGTTGTTGCTTTATTGATCTTACCCTGCTCAAACTGAAACCTGTGACACATGGAGCACCTGCACAGGGCCCCATAACCTTGTGGTTTTGTATTACCTACACCTGCTTAAAAGGTGGAATTGCTTTCTTCATTACAAAAGACAGAGCAAAGTTGAAGTGTTGAGGAGACGCATTTGGAACGAATAGCAACTAAAGGTATGCCAACAATTAGATTAAAAATGAAAATACCAATAATTAAACAAATGCAATCCCTGATGTGATTTACAGGGTTTTTATTCTGGCAAACGCCTGAATATTTTGAACATTATTTGTGAAAAGCTTTAAGCAGCATATCAATAACAGTTCTGTACTTTTCCAGTTCACCACTAGGGAGAGTCTCTGACACAAAAGTGCTTGGTACAGTCAGACCATCATTTTCAAACAAGTGGCTGGTTGTCAGTGGCCGGGGTCTTGGGCTGCTCGGCAGTCAGATATGAGTGAGGATCAGTTAGCTCTGTGTTTGGATGGAACATTCCAGGGCTTTCTTTTGCTATGAATAGCACAGTTGCTTCCATGTAACAGAGGAAGTGTGTCAGTTCTGGAAAAGAGATTTTGTAGGACCAGGAATCAAGGCCTCGAAAGCTGTAACACCAGGTGGGCCTGTTGCTGGGGCGAGTAGATAACCAGCAGAGGTACAATACATATCCTTTTGAATCAAAACATAAACACACATACAGACTTGCATGCTCAGAGCAGTTTGACTCGATGTCTCCCTGGGGTGATCTGCAGGCTGACAGATGATGCTTAAAACACATAGGGGGTTGTATTTCATTGCTGATGTACAATTTAAGCATGCTGCTTTGGTAAGTCTCTGCTCTCAGAGTCCACCTCATTGATCACAGATGAAACGGCATCAGCTGATGTCTGGTCCCTGGCTGGCTTTTATTGTCCTGTAACCTCATGAGTCAGTATAGAGCTCGCCCACCACTGCCTTGGTGTGACAAAGATGAAAACACATATATCGTTTCTCAGCACACACTCTTCAAAGTCAACTGATCATTAGTGACCTCTTAAGAGAAAATCACACATTCTCGGTGAGTGGGATATTAAGTAATACATTATATAATTTGTCTTATGTAGTCATTGGTTCAGTCAGACAGTTTATCACCTGCCTTAATAAACATTGTTAATGTGATATTTATTGTTTGACATCAGGGGATATCAAATAGCAAATTCTTCCTTTCATTGTGTTTACATTTTTGCATCCAGTGTAAAACATTTGTCCAACTTTTTACCTTTGCATATACTAAACGATGAATCCATTTATTTATTCAGACTTTTAGGTTGGGTGTTATCAGAGGCCTCCTCACTTAGCCATCTCTGTGAAGCAGCACCCTTTTTATTGCCTTCGGCTCTGATCCCTGACGCACCTTTGGTCTTAGGAATGGACGATTAACCTCTCAATGTCTGAGCGGTGCTCAGTACTTTGTGCTACATGCTGACAGTTTCAAATGACACAGTGCTCCTCCTTTGCTATATTCAGATACAGAGAGAGGAGGCAAGAGGTTTGGTGACCGGACAGGACTTTGGATAATCACAGAGGATCGGAGGGGGGAGTGTGAATGTGTGTGTGCTGTTTTTTTTGGGAGTTTGTGTGTATATGCAGTGCCCATTTATTTGATGTAAGGGAGTATACAGCCAATATTTTTGTATATGTGATGGACTGCAAGGAGGATTTATTATTTAGTGAAATGTCCCGACTTAGGAGGAGACATACACAGCATCAGCCTAAACCCTGAGAAGCCACGAGTGTTTTGATGGAATGTTTGTCCTGTTTTTATTCACAGGGGTATTTCTGTGCAGGGTCAGAGATTAGATTTGCTTTGACAGGGGTCTTTGCAATAACGCCAGCTTGTGTGTCCTTCTGGGAGAAAGGCAGTCAAATAAGGTGCACAGCTCCTCCCACGTGCTCACTTGATTAGTGTCTTGGGAAAAACACATGTTGGAAAAACACGGTTAGAGCTGAAAGCGAGAGCTGGGGCTGAAGAAGATGCTAAACCTCAGGTTACTTTCAAGAAATGTGATTTAAAGAATAAAAGTGGACATGTGCTTTGTGTGGCTTTAGGCAACACATTTTTCATTTAATGTTATTGTTGTGTGCAAACTGTTATCAATTTATAATTTACAATCAAGAAAATGCCTAAAGCAAGGGATTGTTCAATATTCAGAAACACGCATTTATCCTCCACACGTACAGGTACAGGTGGTTGTAACTGGTTAGACAGGATTCTGAACGTAGCATTCCTCTGGAGAAACCCCTGTTTAACACCTCTATGTTCACACTTCAATTCTTTGAGAACTTTCCGTATTTAAAATATCGTCTATACGCAGTGCTTCTCAAAGTGTGGTCCGCGGGCCACTGGTGGTCCGTGAGTGCCCCCTAGTGGTCCGTGAGTATATTGGTAACATTTCCCATTTGAAATAAATAAATTTAAGTTTTCCGCACTCTCGCGGGAATATCTCCACAATGGAGCGAGCTTAAGTTTCACGATATAGCCCAGCCAACACCTTCATCACACATGTTGCCACTTGTTTATACCATTTTCAGCCGATTTGTAATCTGTTCTAGAAAAACGATGTGTTTTTGGATATTTGTGGAGTTAGGTGGTCCGCGAGTGTTTTTTTATTGGTTAAGTGGTCCTTGGTATGAAAAGTTTGAGAAACACTGGTCTATAGGTACAAAAAAAATGCAATTTAACATGGCATCACCAGTACATTTCAGTCATAGTTCCTACCACTATTAAAGGTATTTTCGTCCAAGGCAAATAAACTTAATTTACTCAAAATATATATGTATATATATATTTAGCTGTAATATGTTTTAATGAGTATAACGTTTATGGTTACTCTTTTAAGATACGGACCAACACAAATGATGGTTATCGTGTTACCAGAGATGTTTTATGTCTGTTTTGATGCTGGAGCTAGCTTTGGGTTGCAAACACAGCCTCTGTTGCCTCACTTGCTGTATGTATGGTATAATGCATATCATGTACTATAATGTGAAACATTATCAAACATTTGATAATTCCTTAGCTTCATGTCTACACAACTGTTGTTCTTTTTCATGGTGCCAAGATCTCCCAAACATTATTAAGCGTCACTCTCTCCAAATAGAGGACACATTTGTTTCTTTGTTATTTAAGTCAAAGTCATGAGCAATGTACTTCTAGGCTTTTCAAAATCTCAATCCTGATTTAAAAAAAATAATAATTATTGTAAGATGATTGACCTATCTATCTTGCACACATAGTAGTGTATTTTTTAAGCAGAAATGTCCAAATATATTGTTAATTTATGGTGTTGTTTAGGCCTCAGACGAGCTGTCAAATACAGTGACTTTGGATTGATTTTTGTTACATCCCGGTCATTAGTATTTTATCGCACAAATATTGCGCAGTAAGGGGAGGAGGTTCTGTGTGTCTTTCATGTAGCATTATATTACATGTTATTTACCTCATGCTTTTAAAGCACTTACGTTCATTTACATATCGTAGACTAAATGCCTATGGGAGGAATTAGGGCTTTATGTATTTTGCCCAAAGGCACTTTGTTCATTGCAAGGGGCTTTGATCGAACCGTCTGATTGGTAGACGCCTATCGTCCCCCCCCCCCCATTGTTGTTTGTGTATGTCTCATATCTGGATACATTGATGATTTTTTTATCTAAAGATGGAATTTAAAAAGAAGCTTCACAGATTATTGTGCACTGTGATATACAGCAGGCCTTCCTGTTGCCACACAGCAGTCATGTGAGAGAGGAAGGAAACGGTCGCCCCTGGCATCATGTGATCCGGGGAGAAAGCAACATGGCATGCAGCATGTTAATGAACTCATATACTTGCATGCTCAGTCAAACAATAATTGACTTCACAAATACAATTTGTGTTGTTATGGAGTGATTACAGGACAGTGAAGGACAAGTGGAGACAAATACAGTGTTACATATATAGACAAGAGATGATTTAGAAAAAACTACTTCAGATATTGAATTTAAACCTTTGTCAATTACATAAATGATAAACAACACGGTGGGGGTTTGTTTAAGTCTTCATTTGGCTGCATGGATGCATTAAAAACACATCAACAGCAAGCTGGAGAAGAAAATAAAATGCACATAAGCTTATTAAAAGAAATGAATAAGATAACATTAATAAATTAGAACACAAGCCAACTCTTTTAAAACTGTGCTTCAGTGTTGGTAAACATGAGGAACATCTAGTGATGAAATTAAACATACCAAATACAAATATTGAATCCATATGCAATTAAACATGTATTTTAATGGGCCTGTAATAATTGTTTTGAACATCTGGTATTTATAACCTGATTTAAAGGTTTGCGCGCCGCAGCATGAATAAAAAGATGGGGGTAGAGATGAAGTGGGGCCTGCCAGAAATGCTGGGCCTCCTCCATTTTACAGCACAATAGAGGCTGAAGTAGTTCCCCCTGGTCCCTCCCCTCCTCTGCCACGTGGTATGATCCAACCCAGTATTTAAATCCGGGAGCTTGAAGGCTGTGCACTGAAAACCGGCGTTATCCAGGAAGCAGCTGAGAGGCAGAGAGAGAGAGAGAGAGAGAGAACATCTGAAGAAAGAGGGGAAAAAAACTGCTCCATCAGCCTGGAGCTGACGACAGTTACAACAGGAGAAGCAGAAAGAGAGACAAAAGAGAGGACTGTGTGATCCTGCTGTTAGAGCAGCTTGTGTTGAGGAGAGAGTGTATCCTATCCCTCTCTTTTCTCTCTTTCGTGTCATTCTTGCTCTCTCACTGTGTTAGCGGTGGAGGGTGCATCGGCCGTCCCAGGCCTAGTTACATGTCCCAGCATCCCGCAAGAGCTCAGACAAGGCCACTGCGACTGTAACGGAGACTGTGAAAACAGAAGACAGGGAGTTAGAGGTACTGTACCATGCATGCTGCTTAATGACAAACAGTACCGTATAATGTATGTAAATACTGTGTTGCTACAAGTTACAGTAGTTCTGTGTGATGCATGGTACTTATCGCTCCATAAATACCGCACAAGCTCACAGTGACCGATGAGCTGTCAGGGAACACAGTTGCGTCGCACTGGAATACCTGACAGCATGTAGAAAACAGTGGGAGGAAATGTAGGAATTAGGAGGGGGTTTCTTTAAGAGAGAGACAGAAATACATCTTGCGTCTGTCAGGTGGGTCTGTTGCTGCGACACTGATATTTGGAAAGCTTGATGTGTGCCTTTAGTTTACTGCAGAGTCTGGATGTTACAGTGAATGAACATTTGGGACATCTGCTGCCGTTTGCTACAGTCATCTATGATGCGGTAATTTTGCCCCCGTGGATTAATCACCGAGATCCTTGGAGTGTGCCAGTGCGCGAAAACAAACATGTACAGTGTATGACACATGCTGTGGGACAGTGTGCAGTAGATCAGAAAGGCAGTGAAGAGTTGTAGATGCTGATAAGGTGCTACTAAAGCTGGAAATAAATACATGTCGTATTCAGAACTGCATCAACGCTGTACCTCTCAGGCAGGTTTAGTGATTGGCAGATAATTAAAGCAGGGACGTCATGTGTTAACATTACTTATCCCTTTCCTATTAAAGGCTTTTTGTGTTGCATAGAAGCAGTAAAGGAAGATGTTCATACCACAGTACTGAGAATTATCTTAGTTTTTCTGCTGCATTTGAATGTAATTTTGCATCTCCAGCAGATCTTCATTTAGTCATACACTGAGTTAATTTGCAAGCAGTACTTTGGCACATTTCATCAGCAATGTTTGTTGAGGTTGTAGGGGTTTATTCTCATCTGTGGTTGCTAGGGAACCTGTAAAGTGTATGTCATCACTCTTCCTCTCAGGGAATAAAGTGAAATATCTTTTAAACATTGGAGCCACAACAGTAGTTATTCAGGAGTGTTTTACTAACAGACATTTAAACAAGTTTGCTTCAATTACAGGAACAATGCAACCTGCTAAACATTTAATGCAAAATGAAATGACCTTTTCTTATGAGAGTTGATTCCTTGTCACTGAGGCATGAATCCAACAAAGATCAAACGTTGTTATCGGAGTAAAACGAGATCCATCATTTATCTTATCTATAACGAACCGAAACTTGTTAAATACACATTTAAAATAAAAGTTTATTTTCTGATATTAATTTTGGACATTAACTGGTTCAAATGTCAACAACATATAATTGGCTCTAGTGTCATGGTGTGGCAAATAATGGAGAGGAGTACCACAACACGTTCATCAGAGGTGGGAAGTAATGGAGTACAAATACTTCGTTATTGTACTTAAGTACATTTTTCTGGTATCAGTACTTTACTCCACTACTTATTTTTCTGATGACTTTTTACTTTTACTTCTTACATTTTTAACACAAATAGCTGTACTTTCTACTTCTTACATTTTCAAAACAGGTTTGTTACTTTAGCTTTAATCTGTGTTTGGTGGCATGATCATTATTATTTAGAGTCATTGCATGCCTATTGATTTTAACACGATCCGTGTATCCATCATTTCCTGGTCTTCTCCAAAGAAGGACCAATGAGAACTTTGTCATTTTGCCGTTGTTCAGCATCGAAACATTCATTAGCTAACAATGCAATTATTGTTATAAATATAAAGGGAGGTCAGTTACTCTTTAAAACAGATGGTAGTTATGGGTACTTTTTACTTAAGTAAATTTCGAAGCCCATACTACTTTACTTTTACTTGAGTAGACAGTTTAGTCAGTACTTCTACTTTTACCAGAGTATTTTTATATACTAATAAAGGACTGGCTTACCTAAAGCCAGTTGAGTAGCACTTGAAATGTTTGGCTCTATGAAACCTGATGTACTTATATGATTCTGTTTTCTTCAAGGTTGTGTCTTCCTGGTCGAATGTACTTATTGTAAGTCGCTTTGGACAAAAGCGTCAGCTAAATGCAATGTAATGTAATGTAATGTAATAATAATTTTTAAACACGAGTATCTGTACTTCTACTTGAGTAAAGGATGTGTGTACTTTTCCCATCTCTGACGTTCAGTGTGCATAACAAGTTTAAATCTGTTCAGAAAAGGCCGTGCAAGGCCAGATGTTTTCACCCAAGTGCCAGAAACCTTGGGTGAATTTATTGTGGTGAACACTACCTCTTAGACATTGCACTGAGAATAGCTGTTTAACAACAAGGTCTGTTTCCAGCCCAATGTGACGCAGTTGGAAATGTGGTCAGCATTCACTAACATATATTACATCCATTCAGACAAGTAGAATTATTGTAGAAATAAACTGGCAGATGAATGGCTCTACAAGTACAGAAAGTCTTGTAATGTTTATTATGATAGGACGTTTTCATACGTGCTTGTGTGACTAGAAGTGTGTTTCATACAAAGTCCTTTTATTTTCAAAATACCCATAAATAGGACAAAAGGTTAAAGTGAAATTGATGTAGGTGGATCTGGTCTTGGAATATTTTGAGGGCACGACTGTACAATGTGTTTGACTTCTCTGCTACGTTGCTGCTTCATCCAGCCTGAGGAACAGGGAGCTGATACGAGCTGGAAGGAGTGTATTGATCTGTATAGAGCAGCTCCACAGAGTCTAGATCACTGTCACTGTTAGGGGTACAAAAAAAGTGAATAGTGGGTAGTGAATGTGGGCGGTGTGCAGACTCAGGTCCCAGGGATGTGTATGCTGGTGGTTTGTAACTATTACTCACTTGTCAAAGTAATTAACTCACGATAGCAACATGAAAAAAAAAAGGTTGAGGAATTTCACTCTACAAAAGATAGGACACACTCACAGTAAATGGTGTGTTTGAAGTTAGGCAAAAAGCGGAGATTCTTTGCTAGCATTGGTTCAAAATTACATTTGAGGCATTTTCAATCCACCCTGTTAAAATAGCTAGACAATGTGTATTGAAATGATATCAATATTGCTATATAATGCTATATATTGTCTTACATTTTGTATATCATACTAGATTTTGCTGCATTACAATACATTGACATAAATGAACTTACCACACTGTTGTAGCTGTTCTATCATTTGTCTTTACCTAAATAGTCATTATAACTACATTAGCCTACTGATCATTATTTCTCAAAACTCTCAATGAGTACATGCAGTATATTGTGAAAACACCAATGGTCAACCTTACAATATTGTTGCTTACAATAACCAGGTATTAGGTATAGCAGAACATTTGCTTTTCTCCTAACTGCGAACTAAAACATAATGGCTTATATTGAGGCTTCACAGAAATACAACAACAAGTGAGTCGCAAAGATTACACTTGTCTCGAGGACAAGCCCACAGTCTTAGACTTTTTCTGATTGTTGGACTAAATCATGGCCCAGACATCTAAGATATTCATTTTTATTTACCATGTCAGGAAAAACGGTTATGAGGAAATAATAGTACGCTTTTCCTTGACCTGTCTTTCACTCTTTGGGACTTTTGAGATTTACCGTTAACTGAATGCAGCATACAAGCCTTTTTCTTTAACTTGCTCATCATAAATGTGCTTGTGCCTCGGTTGTTGTTTTGACTGTGGTCTCTTGTTTTTTTTGCTTGGTTTTGGATGTCAAATTAGGGATCACAGTGTAGACCAGAATACGAGCCAAAACTGTGTGTGGCCTAGCATTACTAGACTTGTGGGGACCTAAATCTGTTTACACAGTCACGTGTGGGGACTCGCCTCCCTTATGGGGACAAATTGGAGGTCCCCATGAGGGGAATCATTAATTTTAGGGTGAAGACTTGATTAGGGTAAGGGTTAGGGTTAGGCATGTGTTGGTTGTGGTTAAGGTTAGGATAAGTCTCCAGGAAATGCATGTAAGTCAATGTAATGTCCCCTGAAGTGTGTGTGTGTGTGTGTGTGTGTGTGTGTGTGTGTGTGTGTGTGTGTGTGTGTGTGTGTGTGTGGTGTGTGTGTGTGTGTGTGGTGTGTGTGTGTGTGTGTGTGTGTGTGTGTGTGTGTGTGTGTGTGTGTGTGTGTGTGTGTGTGTGTGTGTGTGTGTGTGTGTGTGTGTGTGTGTGTGTGTGTGTGTGTGTGTGTGTGTGTGTGTGTGTGTGTGTGTGTGTACTATCAGTTAGATGCGGTTTATTTAGTACCAAATTACACAATCACGATTCTCTGTACAGAATACACCATGCTCTATCCTTGGACCCTTGCCCTATACTACCATGATGTCACAGAGATAAATCGAGATGGGGATGAGTCATCTGTTGTGGACAGGCCGGGGGATTGCATGGATACTTTACTGGGGGTGACTGTGTTTATGTGTGTTTATAGGCCTGCTTGGAGTCACCTGTTGGTTTATTGAAACATTTGAATATCTTGCACTCTTTATAAAATATGGTGAATCGGTCAGGTTGATATTAGTTGCAGGTAATAATATGATCATCTATTTGCCAAATACAGGTCAATGTTGACTGTGGCATGTAAAAGTGTCACATCACCTGCCACCATGGCATATAGGTGCTCCTTATGTTAAGAAATAATATGTTTGAAAGCAAATCATTAATGAGGGTTACATGTCAAAGTCCATACGTCTACTTGCACTGGCGTGTTTACAGTTCTTAGCGATTTCTAAAGTCCTACATATATTTGAGAAAAAGCAGGCAATAAAAAAAACTGTGTGACTTGTAGAAATGTCCAGTGACCTGCCACAATGGCTGAGGAGGAAAACAAATAATTAAACACCCTGATTGGTTGAGCTATTATGATGAATGTTTTTAACAGTATTTGTTGATCACACAAGTCCTTGATCATTTGATTGTCAGCAGATCGTTGGAAAGCTGTACCTCACATCCTTTAAAAGTTGAGTGAAATGTGTTTTGCTCATATTAGTTTACTGTGGAGCGTCCCTCTGTCCACCCTACACTCCACAGCCTTGTAAGCAGACAGCAGATGGCGGAGACTAATTGTCACAGGCCAGACACAGAACCAATTATAGAAGAGAGTGAACACACCACTCTCAAAGCCATAGACCTATTACGAGGTAGTGAATTACAGTGTGTGCGCATAACTTTGGAACCCTTTTAAATTATAGTTATTTTCAAGTGAAATTCTTAAGAAAGTACCTGATCAGTACATGTAATGTTCTTCTGAATCCCTCAGTCTCCAGACAAAGCTATTTTGTGTAGAAAACACTGTTGTCTTTGATTGAATCTGGTGTCATCTGTTTCAAGCTGGTCTATTATAGGGAAGCAAGGGCCCTCTTATAGTCATCCTCAGGTGTGTGTGTGTGTGTGTGGTGTGTGTGTGTGTGTGTGTGTGTGTGTGTGGTGTGTGTGTGTGTGTGTGTGTGTGTGTGTGTGTGTGTGTGTGTGTGTGTGTGTGTGTGTGTGTGTGTGTGTGTGTGTGTGTGTGTGTGTGTGTGTGTGTGTGTGTGTGTGTGTGTGTGTGTGTGTGTGTGTGTGTGTGTGTGTGTGTGTGTGTGTCTATTGGTACAGCTGTCTTTCCTTAAGCCGGTTTCTGTTGTTGGACATACAGTTCTCCAGAGGTAATCATAGTTATGAGCTATTTGCATTTGTTTATCTTCTGACTGAATGTTTGCCACTAGTGTCTTTTTGTGTGATGTCTTCAGTGTTGATACAACAAAAATGGGCTTATGTGTTCATGTTGCTGGATGAAGGAAACAAAGGACTTTATTTAGCCAAAAATGGCTCAATCTTGAAAAAAACATTGATTGCCTTTCTTTGTGTGAGAGTGACATCAGTGTGATTGTCTGCGATTGTAGTAGTTCGCTTTGTCTGTTTTTACAAACAATATGTGTGTCTCTGTTTTCAACAGACTGTGAAATTATGAACAATTGTTAGTTTGTAGAGAGATTGGCATCAATGGCACATGATGCTGTATGCAGTTGGCTGTACACTATGACTCCTTTGAGACTTGAAAAGCCCACTTGTATGTATGTTGGTGTGTGGAGAGGTTTTGTGGATTGTTAATCCTTTTCTGTCAGCGCACACATAACTTCTTGATAGGGTACTTTATATTCTCAAAATAGTCAAAGTGTACAGCCAACTGCTAACAACATAATCTGCCATTGATGCCAATCACTCACAAACTTTTGTTTCACAGTCTGTTGAAAAATAATACGGATACATTCTTTCTACAACAGACAAAGCTTTCTGGAACCAACAAAAGAGACAACATTGTTAAATAAGATGTTTCCTAAGCAACACGAGGATCAATATAGATTCTGCATTGCGTGGCTCGAGTTGCAGAAAAATAATGTCATTACCTCTGGCTAAAGGGAACCTACTGAAAATGTAACCTTTTCATGCGCGTAGATGAAAACAATAGAAATCTGTAAACCAAAATGTGTCAAATCACATTAGCTGTGGTTTAGGGAACCAAGAGGATGCTCTTATAGGGACTGATATTCAATGTTATAATAGTTTTCTATTTTTTGTTTTATTTGTATGTATGCACCACAACACCAAGTAACATTCCTCGTATGAGTTAACCTAACCTGGTAATCGACCTGTTTCTGATTCTTCTGACTTCTTACAAAAATCCCTCATCCCTGCAGAACTCAAAGTCATCATCTTTGCGTAAACTGGGCTCCGGAGATACAAAAATAAGTTTTTAACATGGGATGTGTAACTATCACAAACCGTTCCTCTGTCTCTGCCCATAGACCTGAGCGGTGCATCTGGAGTGAAGCCCCTGAAGCCCCAGAGATCCACTTCTCTCACACACTACCCAATCGACCTGCGAACATCCATGGAGGAAAAGTACAAAGAGATTGCCGAGGTAAGAATTCAAAGCCAACCAGATCACACGAGATCTTTTAGATACAGCTCATTTCATATATTTTAATCAGCTGTTACTGTCTGATGTTTGGATGTTGAATTAGCTAGAAACGTGTTGTTAGTAGTTAACTCATTTGAAAATGTATATTTAACCACCTGCCTTTGGAATCCAGAATATTTTCTTAAAGTGTACAAAAACATAGGAACTAGAATGGCTTTCTGAAATTGCACACCTCCTCTGTCAATCTCCTTTAAGCGTGTTTAAAGCTGCTTTTGAGTAGTTGTTCCGACTTAAAGGGGACCTATCATGCAAAATGCACTTTGTGATGTCTTTTAAACATACATATGTGTCCCCGGTGCGTCGGGGAACTCACGCAGCGTCAGAAAATAAAACCCTCTCTCTTTTCCTCTGTACCCAAATCTTTTAAAAACGGGTGTACAACAAGAGGATATAGATTCCATCCGAACTGACGTCAAATCGGCAGCGGACCCACAGAAAGTTGCTATCAGAAACAATGCCTGACGTGTTTTGGACGTAATCTCGTCTTTGTTTACATTAGCAAGCCTCGCTAACACTCAGAGCTAACCTGTACTGAAGAGCACATGTGTTTTTAAAAAGCAGGAAATAAAAAAAGAACTCACCTTGTGATAAACCTGCAAGAGAAAAAGCATTTGAGCTCCATACTGTTTCAGAAATAATCCTTGACGTGGTTTAAACAGTTTTATCACAACCAAATTTAACTTTATCTCCGGTAGAATTCTGATCAGGCATTAGCTCCGCCTCCTCTTCTTTTCTTTTTTTCAAGCTAAGGACCCAAGATCCGCGTTTCTCTAACAGGGCTTCAAAAGAGGGGTTTGAGCAGTATGAGGCATGGCTACAATGGGTGAACTGTTTGGTATTTTGAAAAAAAAAAACTTCACAGACATGTTTTGTATAGGTATGGCCCTACAATATATTTTTTAAATATAGCATGATAGGTCCACTTTAAGGAAGCGTTTTCTTAAATTGATCGAGTCAGAACCTGTTATTTGGATACCACATGAAGGGAGTGGCTATATACAGGACCGTCCTGTACACAACGCCAAATGACTATATACAGGACCGTCCTGTACACAACGCCAAATGACTATATACAGGACCGTACTGTACACAACGCCAAATGACTATATACAGGACCGTCCTGTACACAACCCTCTGAAATGGCTATATACAGGACGGTCCTGTATATAAGGTCTCTGAAATGGCTATATACAGGACGGTCCTGTATATAAGGTATCTGAAATGGCTATATACAGGACCGTCCTGTATACTAGCTCCGAAATGGCTATATACAGGACCGTCCTGTAAACAGCTCTCTGAAATGGCTATATACAGGACGGTCCTGTATATAGCCATTTCGGAGCTTGTATACAGGACGGTCCTGTATATAGCCATTTCAGAGACCTTATATACAGGATCGTCCTGTATATAGCCATTTCAGGGCTTCTGTGCAGGACCGTCCTGTATATAGCCATTTCAGAGAGCTGTGTACAGGACGGTCCTGTATATAGCCATTTGGCGTTGTGGACAGGACCGTCCTGTATATAGCCTCGGCCCCACATGAATGCAGCAAGGAAATAAAAAGAGGACTTTTTGTATCTGCTCCATAATGTTATGAGTTCTCCTTTCTCCCATGTTACACCCTTTACACGTTTCTATGAAAAATGGGCAAGTAGTTGTAATCCTGTTGAGTGAGAAATGTATCAGGAAAACAAACGCAAAATGGCAGGTGGTTTTGTGTAAACCCTAGAGTCCATAATATGTCTGTAGTTCCGTGAAAATGGACCTGTTCTAATTTATGACGCCATATAACATTGTACAACCTATGTTTGCACAAGGAGCTGTTCACACGCAGCATGGCAGATAGTGAGATGCGGAGCGCTCCATATGAGTTTCCGGAGGACAGCCCCATCGAGCAGCTGGAAGAACGACGGCACCGCCTGGAGAGGCAAATCAGCCAGGACATCAAGTGAGGAAATGCAGACGCACAAACACATCTAGTTAAATGAATTCATACCACTATTTCAGGAAGAGATCTCCCCTGCCCCCACCTTTTACACTCAGTAATGCACACAGGTTTATCAGCTTCAGCAACCAGCAACTTGGCTAGCTAGCAGATTGTAGCTGTCCTGGTGTTCTTCTTCTCTTACACACACTTTTATAAGGAGGTGGGTTCTGTCTTTGTTCTTGGGGTTGATGGAATCTGCACCACAGAGCTTTTTGTTATCTGACACTCATCTCTGCTAGCCCCTGTTTATCACTGAGGGTGTGCCACTACTAACTGATGATGTGTTCTCATTGTGCCAATCTCCTCAAACTTAATGCCGAATATTCTTTTTGTGCATATGTAAATATAAACCTGTGTTTGAGGATGCTCATTTGAGTGTGTGTGCTTGTGCATAAATGCTGCCTTTTTTGTGTGCTTAATTTCTTCTCACTGCCTCTCTGCATTGCCCTCACTGTCCTGCGCCGCTGCATATCAACCAAGGCTTGAGCCCGAGATCTTGCTCCGCGCCAAACAGGACTTCATGAAAATCGACAGTGATGCAGACCTAGAGTGAGTGAGACCGCTTCAGTATGCATGCTTTGTGAAGGGATTTTCTCGTTAGTGGTTCATTTTCTTTCAGTACCTCTCTGTGGCCCAATTCACATTTGGAGTTGAAACCAGTTTCGTATCAGATTGTACCTACATATGATTTAACCTGGTTAGATTTTCAACTGGTATCAATATACAATACCATATAGTAATGTGTCTCGTGTCTCCTGTCGCCATATTGAGATCCGATCGCTCTGTCAAGCTTAAACTACCGAACGTCTACTCTCTCTCTTCATTGTTTTGGTTCTTCTTAAAGAGCCACACTGCCACATGCCAGCCAAATCAAATGTGTAGGGGAGAGTGGGGTAAGTTGAGCCATTTTTTAGTTATTCTGTCCTCTAAGCAAGGAGAAATGACACATAGTAAAAATGAAAACACACAACTATAATTCAGGATGTCTCCTATCAATGGCAATGATAATAATTATTATTTGATAAAGGGCAGTGAAAATATTACTTCTATAAAAAAAAAAACTATAAATAACAAACCAAATACAAGCTTAGTTTTTCAAATATCTGTAATATACATTTTGATTGAATTGATTCAAGGTAGGCCATCAACTTGGCCTACCTTCATTAATTTATCCATTGGAAAAACTGGCTCAACTTACATGGTTCACTTTACCCCATAGCCACCATTTTAGAAAAAATAGCCTAGCATTAAAATTCAGAGTCATCTTTAGCTTAATGATTCACATGGTTGAATACGCTGCCAACACATCAACATACAATATATGTGTTTAAACCTGGATAATTTTTTTTTTACATGACAGCCGATATAGCTGGCATCTAGAAAATGTACTTTGACAAGCAAAAAAACGTTTTTTTGTAAAAATGTTTACTTACCAGACCACAATGAGTATCTCTCTTTCACAGGCAATGAGAAATGGGTGGAGCTTGCATAATTTATGGTCACTTCATTACAACTATAAGGCGTTGCCTGGTTACAGGGGGTGGTTCAACTTACCCACTGGCTCAACTTACCCCCTACTCATTCAGCTATTAAAAAAAAAAGGCAGTTTCAGGACTTTTTCAGGTGTACTAGCACTAGCACTTTTTGCCTCAACGTCCAGGCTGACACAGCACCGAGCTACACTGTGATTATTTTGTATTTCTCTAACAGGCTTTTCCCTTGTTGCTGCATAGAGATGGTCTGGGCTGTTAGTTATCTGTCTCGACACATGTTAGAGCCCAATGCTGCCAGTTGTTGTTTGTGGATTGAAAATGGAAAAATTGTTTTCAACTTGTGTTATATATATGGATGTAATTTCATGTGTTTGAGGAGCATTATCCGATTACAAACAGATAACACTAAACACATTTTAATGCAAGGTGTAAAGATGGGCCAATTTTTGTTGTTGCTTCCCTAGAAATGTGCATGGTAACCTCTTACGTGGAGGCTTTTTAATTGATTATTACCATAAGCATACATGACTGTCTTATTTAAAATATGTATCCATAACCACTGAGATATCATCAGCATACTGTATTCAGATGGGCCACATCTTCCCTCTGCTGGTGACTCGGTAGATGTAGAAATGTTATATTGTTATATTGCTTTCTTATTAACTCTCTTATTAATTAAATGTCCTCTAAACCCTGACACATTCTTACAGTCCTGGTCATTGTGCAGCTCGTTGGGCAAATTATTAAGGTTTTTGCTATTTTGTAGATCAATTAATCTTCATATCAGAATAATGTATGAGATGTCCCTGCTACTCCTTTGTGTCTTCACTTGTTTTACCTTTCTCCCCTTTTAAAACCCTAATTTGTCTCTCTGTATCTTAAGGTCATTGCAGGAGCTGAGTTTGGACAATGTTGATAATTGCTTTAAGAAGAGGGAGCTGCCACTGGAAAGAGAGTACCAGCGAGTTTCAATATCTGGAGAGGATAAGTGCGGGGTGGGGACATTTTATTCATATGATTTGTTTGAATTTTCATTATCAATTTAACTCCAGTAAAGTAAGTTCCCATTTTCATTTTCTGTGTATCAATATCTTCCCAGGTTCCCTTCGTTGACCTTGTAGATGCTGCAAAGTGTGTGGTGAAGGCACTGTTTATCCGGGAGAAGTACATAAAGCGATCCATTCAGAACTTTTGTAAGACCACCGCTCACTCCCTCCAGGAGCTGGGGATGAAGCCTCTGGATCTGGCCGACTACGACGATATAGCAGAGACTCCTGTAGATGCCGGTAACTAATGCATACATCAAACATATTCTATCACAGTTGGGATTAGCAATTAGAAAGTGTATTTCAGAAAGGACAGAGCCGCATGTTTGAGGCAAAATATTCTTCAGTCAAAAGGTTTTGTTGAATTCTACAAAGATGATTGTTGTATCCGATTGTTGGATGGTGTTATGAATGATTTTAGTCATAACATTTGATTTTCACGATTATCTGGGCCAAAATAATTATCACTAACAATAGAAAAACTGAAAATAAAGATGACGCTTTCAGTCTTAATTGTGTTAGAGCTTGAAAAGTTTGACAGTCGTTAAGATAAATCTACATAAATGTGCATTAACATTGATATTGAGTCAGCTAGTAAAAGCCAGGAAGAAGGTAAATAACTTTCATAACTAATCTCGTCCTCCACACCCTGAACCTGTGGGCAAAACACGTGACGAAAAATGATTGAGAAACACCATCAGCTGTCTTTTTTTTATTTAAATGTATTGTTATTCAGCTTGCCAAATTCTAATCTAGATCTTATTATTAAAAGTAAACACAGCGGTCACCAGGGACCACTATGTGATTAAAAACCTGCACACTGTGTTTGTTTTGTCTGAGCAGTTTCCACATAATTGTTAATCATTTTACGATATTTATTTGTAGCATGGAAGACATTACATATTAATATCAATTTCTCTTTTTCCAGATGCCCCTGTGCACCCACCGGTCTCAAAGAATCACCCCTATGACAAAGACCCCAAGTATTTGCCGACAGACACAGGCTATGGTTGCAAGATGGTGGGTGGAGTAGTCCATGTATACACCAAGAAAACCAACATGGACAAGTACGTGTTGTACCTGAAGGACAATGAGTGAAAATATAGTGAGTCTTGTGTTTTACTTGGACCTGTTCTCCTTCAACAGAAGCACAGAACTGGACCTGACCTATCCTGACCTGACTGAGTACATTGGAGACATGAATGTGATGATGTCCCTCATCATCAACGGGCCAGTGTGAGTGTTTTTCAATACCAGTATTATACACAGATCATTGGACAAAATCAGGTTGTCGTCGGGTAGGGAGTTTAAACAGCATGTTGGTGTACAGGCTAATTTAATATGGACGTTGCTAGGAAGCTTCAGAGCTTTAAGGCAGTGAGCTCAACGTAATGTGTGTGTGTCACTCTGAGAGCGAATTAAAAAGAAGGTGTTTGGGAAATGAATATAATGCTTTGAGATGCAGTACTAAAGCTCAATGAGTCAATTTAGCACTTTAGTAAATGCAAAGCTTTGTATTGTTTTTTGGTTTTTTCAATTACAAATGTATTTCTTTAAGAAAAAATATATATATATAATTTAGTTTTTGGGAGAAGGGGTGGGATTAAATAAGTGTAAACTTCTTCCCACCCCTTTTCAGATGTCTAATTAAGTAGATTATTTGTTTATACATAAATAGATTATTTGTTTATACATAATTTAGAGTCAGTCATATTTTTGTATATCAATTTGACACTGATTACATTTGTATTGTATAATAATTCTCATGTTAAATGTTTGTATTATTGTTTTACACATTAAATCTAATAATAAAAAAAAACCTAATTTGAAAAAAGCTCCCTTTTTAGATTTCGCTGATTTTTATTTTCTTTCCTGATGCTGACATCCTTAGGTTAAATGCTCAGTTTTTATTTTAAATTAGTTTCATCTGTTTGGTGTCTACAGGAAGTCTTTCTGTTACCGCCGCCTGCAGTACCTGAGCTCTAAATTCCAGATGCACATCCTCCTGAATGAAATGAAGGAGCTGGCGGCTCAGAAGAAAGTTCCCCACAGAGACTTCTACAACATACGAAAGGTAAGAGCCAACAAATGACATATTAAATGCATCACTACTATTCTGATTACATCAATTGACCCTTGTGGGTTGAAAGCATTAACAAAATACACATTTGGACTCTTTGAACAAGACGAAGGAATGTGATCCGAGGTCATATCTGCCTCTCACCTATTCCTCTCTGTCCTAACCGCAGGTGGACACACACATACACGCATCGTCCTGCATGAACCAGAAGCACCTGCTGCGATTCATCAAGAGAGCCATGAAGAAATATCCCGAGGAGATCGTTCACGTGGACCGCGGCCGTGGTCAGACCCTGAAGGAGGTGTTCGAGAGCATGAACCTGACGGCCTTCGACCTGAGCGTGGACACTCTCGACATGCATGCGGTGAGAAATGGGAGCAGCAATAAAGAGTATCTAACTAAAGGTTGTGTACAAAGAGATATTGCGTAACTATTGAAGAGTTGTATTGGCAGGAATAAGGAACAAGTCTAACTTTAGATCTAAGACAATTCAGGACTAGTTTCCAGCAGTTTTGTTTCATTCATTTTGACTTTATTTTAGAAATATAGATTAAAATGAAATCTTCCTCCTCACATATTTAATTCTTGGTGCATGAGCGTAACCCACTTGGTAAAGACAAAAACGATGTTTGACTGGTTGTGTTTACTTATCAGGATCGTAACACATTCCATCGGTTTGACAAGTTCAACGCCAAATACAACCCCATCGGAGAATCCATCCTCAGAGAGATCTTCATCAAGACTGACAACCACATCGAAGGAAAATACTTTGCACACATAGTCAAGGTGTGAAAAATGTCATATTATTGATAATATTTACTTCATCCAAACCATTTATTAATGTACAAACAAACTTCTTTATTGACATCTCTATCCAGGAGGTGATGTACGACTTGGAGGAGAGTAAGTACCAGAACTCTGAGCTCCGCCTGTCCATCTACGGGCGCTGCCGGGACGAATGGGACAAGCTGGCTCAGTGGGCCCTCAAACATCGAGTTTACTCTGATAATGTGCGCTGGCTCATCCAGGTGCCTCGTCTTTTGTAAGTACTCGCTCTAACTCACTTTACCAAAACCAATTAAATTAAAACAGAAAATGCTTATAATGTCTACTTTTCACTAGCAAAATGCAGAAAGCTTTCTTTTAGACACATCACATCCAGACAGAACACATTAAAAATACATTTATATAGAAACACAGTACACTAAATAAGTTAAATGTAAAAGCAGCACCAGTTAAATAATATTAAATATATATATAAAATGCTGTGGTCTGAAGTACAGTAGCAAACTCGCGGCAACAAATCTAAATAAAGTGGTCAGTCTTTCAGGTTGAGGTATTTAATGGTAACAGCCAGGACAAAGGAATTTTAGTCGGATCATTTCTGAGGTCACGTCCCTTTATTAGAGAGTAGATGCATATCATAAGACAAGTTAAGGACAACCTTCTTGTCATCACACATTATATCTCCTAGCCTTTACAAAGAAAATTCACACACAATCATCTCTATGCTAACAACACATGTCACTGTTCTCCTCTTCAGTGACGTGTACAAGACAAAGAAGCAGCTGGCAAATTTCGAGGAGATGTTGGAGAATATCTTCATGCCTCTGTTTGAAGTCAGCATCAACCCGCGCAGTCATCCTGAGCTGCATCTCTTTCTGGAGCACGTGAGTATCCCTTTACAAGAAATCGATCCAGATAGTTCACTTCACACTAAATGAGACTAACCAATTCTCTTTGTCTTTTTGTGGCATGTTCGTCCTCAGGTGTTGGGCTTCGACAGTGTGGACGATGAGTCTAAACCGGAGCACCACATCTTCAACCTGGACAGTCCGCTGCCAGCTGACTGGACAGAAGAGGACAACCCGCCCTACTCCTACTACCTCTACTACACCTATGCTAACATGACTGCGCTCAACCACCTGCGAAGGTATATAACTGCTATACATTTATAACACCTAGAAATCATTGACCAGGCCTTGCATCCACTCAATTTGTCAATATATTTGATTGACACAGGCGCAGAGGCTTCCACACGTTCGTCCTGCGACCTCACTGTGGGGAGGCGGGGCCTGTCCACCACCTGGTGTCAGGCTTCATGTTATCAGAGAACATCTCCCACGGTCTGCTGCTCAGAAAGGTCAGGACGGGTCCAACTATAGAGACCAGTGTGGTTATGCTTGGTTCTACCATGTTGACTTACTAGCTTTCTCTGAATTGTATTTCTCTTGGTTTTGTTGATATTATGGATTGTCAAAAATGAGATGTTTGTGGTGATTACCATAGTGATCCTAAATTAAGTGAAGTAAAGCACATTATTAAATAAAAGCCCTCAAAACTCCTTTTCACTCTTTCCTTCAACTCCTAATCCACTAAACCCTCGCCCGTATTCCACCTAGTTTAGCACTTTTTACTTTTGTTGTTATTTTCTTCTGCTTGTAAATCACTTTGAGCACCAGGGAAAGCGCTATATAAATAACATGTATTATTATTATTATTATTATTATTATTATTATTATTATTATTATCCCTGACATAGAACAGCTTCCTCAAGACCTGAGGTTGTCAGAGAGCTCCTAATTTGATTATTTAGTAACTATTCAAACTATTCTGTCACACTGTACCTTCGCTTAACAAGTGAAATATAGGGTTTGAGATTACATTTGACATGCTCTCTCTCTCTATTGGATATCCATTAGGCTCCGGTGCTGCAGTACCTTTACTACCTGGCTCAAATTGGCATCGCCATGTCTCCACTGAGTAACAACAGCCTGTTCCTCAGTTACCATCGCAACCCGCTGCTGGAGTATCTGTCCAGAGGCCTCATGATCTCTCTGTCCACCGACGATCCCCTTCAGTTCCACTTCACCAAGGTCGGTCTGAGTCAGGTTTGGCTTTTAGGTAAGAATAGCATGCAGATGATCAGAAGTGCGGATATGACATCTCTCTCTCTGTGCTTGTCTGGCTCCAGGAGCCTCTGATGGAGGAGTACAGCATCGCTGCTCAGGTGTGGAAACTAAGCTCCTGCGACATGTGTGAGCTGGCCAGAAACAGTGTCCTCATGAGTGGGTTTTCACACAAGGTAAAGAAGTTTACACCTCTTCTCATTTTGTGTTTTTCAACAGGAGACATCCTGCACAAACTAATGCAATTCAACACAACAGCCCTGTCCTAATATGATCCTTTTATCAAGTTTATAATGTTCAGTTGTTAAAAATACTTATTTTTTATTATCCTTATATATTTCTTTTTTTTCTACCTACTTAGCAACTTTTTTTTTGTTTTTTTTTGTTCGCACAACCAGATACCAAAGCAAATTCTTTGTATGTGTAAACCTACCTGGCAATAAACTTGATTCTGATTCTGTTGGTCACATGGTATGAAATCAATGATGTTATTAATTAAGCAAGGTTTTCTTTTTATTTTCCCGCAGCAAATTTCCGAACAGACACATATTGGAAATCTATATTTTTACTTTCTCACTTGAGAACATATTCAAACTTAATAAACAGAAATATTAACAGCTTTTAGCTTGGCTCATAATCTCACTTGATTGCCTGACTGTCTCAAGGCACCCACTCATGCATTTCTTCTTGATTTCAGGCCAAAAGCTACTGGTTGGGCCCCACCTACTTTGACGAGGGTCCTGCGAGCAACGACATCCGCCGTACTAACGTCCCTGACATCCGCGTGGCGTACCGCAGCGAGACCCTTGCTGAGGAGCTGCAGCTCATCACTCAGGCTGTCCACACCGAGGAGCTGGACCCGATCAGCGAGGAGGACGCTCTGTCCATGGGCCCTATCCTGGGAGATCACTAAAGTCACAATAACCTGTGAACCCCCAGCCCGGTGGTCCACCCAGCATGACACGGAAGAGACGTGGTGGGAGGGTAATTCTGTTGCATCCCACATACAGTATAAACACCACAAACCATCCATATCATCCGTATGCCGTACACACAGATACCAAAAAGCCAAGGACAAAGTGCTGCTAGAGCCGTTCAGATTCTATGTTCCTCCGTTTTTTGTGTTAGTCATTATCAGGCTGAAGTTATGGATATCTAACCTGTTGTTGTTAACGTTCCTAGGTCAGTCATAATCAAGGTTAGCAGAGAAGACCAACACACGTGTTTCTTTTGAATAAAAAAAAAAACGAGAAACACTGGAGAGGTTTCAGGGCGATGCTGTCTTTATCCTTCTGTCCATGAGATTGACATCCTGTCCAGTCAGCAGTATGTATTAATACACCAGACGCAGTACTCAGCATGTAGTATCTGTGTTCTACTGAAACACTGACAACCAGCACATTGGGACTTTCTTCACATAAACCCACTCTGAACGCAGCTGACAACCTGGTGCATCTTCTCTCTTCATTATTCAAACTTATTCAAATGATTACCCATTCAGTTTTTATGGAATGATAACAGCTGTAGGTTGGATTTACCCAGAAGATGGTTTAAGCTTCTTCAGGGCGTCCCCAGGTTTGGAGATGTACTGAATCAGAGAAGAGAGAGCACAGCTTCTGGTACTTTGTTGTGGTGTCAGATCATTTATTTTTAAAGAATTATTATTGTCCAAAATGTAATGAGCTCAGAAAATGACTTCCTGGTCGTCCATTGCAAACATTCCAGGAAGCTAAAACTTGTCTTTTGCTCCAAATATAATCCAGTAAATGTTCACAATCATCCCATTTTGATGGTGTTCATGAGAAGAAAAGGGATTTGAACCATAGCACAAATATTTATGGATGAATTTGCATCGTCTGAGGAGAAAGCTCTTAGTGACCTCACTGTGACATCTATCACTCATTCCTTCCCTTGTAGACAAATCGCAAAGTTTTGTTTTTTTTCACCGCTGCATGCAGTGCACTGTACATATGCAGCAGGACAAGACTTTGCAGTGCCTTTTCCTTTTTAGCTTAAGCCTGAAAATCCCCCTTTTCTTTTTGCATTTTCTTTTTCTCAGTCGTCTACAGTAGGCCTCCAAGCTGTTGTAACTTCCCCACCGATGGAACTGAAACCACCTAGCTGCATGCTCGGTGTGAAGAAGCTTGGCCTTTGTTTGACGAGGACATTTTGTTTCTATTACTCTGCTTCTAAGTGCTTTATTTGCATGCCTGCATGAGTAATGGATGGCAGGCGAGAATTAGTTATATACAGCAAGCTGTATGTGACGTTTTAATTCATTCAGGGCTACACCAGCATTTGAAATCTGTTTGCATTAAAGAGATTTAAATTAAGCACTGTTCACCATGTAGATACAAGCCAACCATGCTGGGACATGGTCCAGATGTTTGCATGGTTCTTGTAGCATTTTCTTTTTAAACTCGCCCCAAATCTGATCAAAGCTGGGATCACAAATTGTGTTTTATACTCATCATATTATTTCTCTACCTGCCAATGGACACGGGCCAACTTCCATCAAACTGTGAGCATTGTTAAGATGATTAGGATGAAAGATGAGAAGCTGAATTTCTTCAGCAGGAATAAAGTGGAAGTAGCATCCAAGTGTTCAAGGGAGGCACCATAGTTGTGTGCTTGTTCGTTGGGTTTCATGTATAAAGCGTATTTTTTTTAAAGGGGATATAAAGATAAGAGATTTTATATTCACAATATATTGATGTCAAGGTTTAACACTTAGTAGTGTTGCTGTTTACCATTGTGAGTTACCATTATGACATGAAGATAGTCGCTCAATAAAGGCTGTTCTTTTATTTAGTTAATCAGGCCATTTCATATAACAGTAAATACAGTATGTAAATGTTACATACTAGGGATGGGAACGATTCATCGAATATTCGAAATTATTCAGGTATTCGAATGTGAGTTATGAATATTTTTATTCTAATTATTATTATTTTTTATTTTTTTGGAAGGGGTGCCTAAGTTGATTACATATTATCAAATGGAATAATTCAATGTATACGACAGTGCCATAGCTAAATGTGTTGGGTCTAAAGGTGTGTTTTGCTCCGCTCACGGTACCTCACGGCAGAGCTGCAGGTGCTGATCTCTCTCTCGCGTCCGGTTATACTTCACTCGCGTTTATGTCCAAAGCCATCAGATCTAGCTAGTTCTAGCCAATGATATGGCTGCTGCCCCTCCCTACACGCAGATCACGCAGACTCAAACCTCATCTTATGCACAAATTCCAGCTTCTCTACAGCTGGCCTGATTGTGAATCGCCTCCGCACCCGCATCTCCCCATTAAGAATATGAGCATTTAGATATGCTCATATTCTTAAACAAGAATGAGTATTATTGAATAGCTGCATTCTGTGCATAGGCCCTGTTACAGGTTGTTGATCTCTGTTGTAATAGGGTTATGTTACCCTGACCCGTTATGTTGTTCGTGTATGATCCCTCTTTAATTTAAAAACCAAGTTATGTTTTAAGCATGAAAGCTGTAGGCCTATAGTTGTCAACTGTTCAAACTGTGATCACCAGTTCAATACATTTGACAAATTCGACTTGGTTTCTATACTTATTTGAACATGTATTTATTTATTTTTCCTAATTAATTCTTTTTTTTTTTTTTGGTATATTTCTTTCCCACATTTCTTTTTTTTTTATAGCATATGTACATTTCGGTTAACCGTTTTTTTGGGTGTCGAATATTCGAATATACATTTGCTTTCAAATTCCCATCCCTATTACATACATCTTACTTTAAAGCCAACAGATGTTGTTACAGCAGTTGCTGACCTCCACACACACACACACACACACACACACACACACACACACACACACACATATAAAACAAACCCCTTCTTTTAAGTCACATCAATAGTCATTTTCTGTGTTTTTGTTTAGGAACGACTAATTTCCTCCATTGACTTGCCCAATAACTTCACACACTTGGTGCGTTCTTCCAGGGACTAGAATCTGTACTGAACTTTCTCCATCCATTCACTAACCGTTGTGTTGTGTGCTTGTTCTAACAGTCAGCACAGAGCTACCTGTCTGCACAACATTGTGCAGCCTACCTCACAAATACTTATCTCCAAACGTTCTCTGTGTTTCTGTGTCCTCAGCAACAGCACACAACAATTATTGAATTATTTACACGTTGAACAATCAACCGATATTTTTCCGGTTTATTGCAATTGTTTGTTTGGTCTATTATCATCAGAAAGTTGTGAATAAAGCCCATTATGATTCCTTTAGGACCCTGGGTGTTGAGGTGTTCAAATTGTTTGTTTTCATCCAAACTACAGTCTAGTTCTCAAACATATTTGCTTTACTTTCATAGACAATGTGATGAAGCAACACATCTTCACAGTTTGAACCAGTAAATTGGTCATTTTAACCTTTTAAATTCCAGTAAATATTGGCGCATGAGAAGTGATGCACATAAAACGGAACAGATGGGACCATTTTAAGACGCTTTTATCTCTAAGTAGTAACACAGCAATTATTTGGATGCCATCACAAAAACCAGTACTAGTTATTCAAATATATGCACTACATTATTCATATATTTATAATTCACACTGATTTATGTGTGTTTTACTATCTGTATCACTCATTTATTACATTTGTAATGCTCACTCTCAAGATATATTTCTGTGCAGCTTATATTTTTCTCATTGAAATCTTTGTTTTCACAAAATCTCGTCACTTTTTCGACATTTGAATTTTATGGCCATGGATCTGTAGCCAAATGATTGCCTGAAATGAATTTCCAGTGTTTAACAAATGCCTTTGATAAGGTTCACGTGTAATGTCTGAACGAAATAAAGCATGTTTATTCACTAAAACGTTGTGTTGTGCCAGAAAACTTTTATTTACACGTTACTGAATGAACACATACATAAGGCTGTTTACATCGTGTTACATCATCGGACTTTGCTATCATAATATAGTAAGACATTGTACATAGCATTGCTGGGAACATTGTCTCAATGCACTTTATATCATCTCTACTGATTAGATTACACTTTGGATTTACAGCAGATTTCTCAACCAAACAAATACTATATATGAATTCAAAATGAGATGCATATAATTGTATACAAGGATTCAGATAATGCTTAACAATCTCACACTTATTTAAAAGTATACAGTATTGTGACATGGTCCATAGGGAGTTCTTGTTCTCCTTCTTCTTTGGTTTTCTCTTGTTGGTCTCTTACGTGGCAACCTTGGGTATTCAAACAAAAAACTGTTAGACGTGCTTTTGTATTCACACCAGCATTACTCAGTGGACACAGATAAAGATGGTAACTTACACTCATGGCGGATTTGACTGCTTGTAACTGGAAGAAGACTCGTCCTCCTTCCTCGGGACAAACGGTCTTCAGTTCCTCTCGGCTCATGCCCAGCAGCATGGAGCCGCTCAGCCCGCCCAGACAGCGCACAGTGCTGCAATAAAACTTATATTAGTCTGTCAATCACTTCTGAATCTCTGAAGTTCATTTGGTGGAAAAAGGTCAAATGCCTGCTCTAATATTAAATGGCAGTGGGTGAAGTTTGGTTACTCACAATTTATTTGATGGTGAAAATGGTTAAACTGAAGGGAGCACGGGCCATTATGTCCTGACTTTTTATCCATATTAAGAGTTGAGCTCTAAAAACACTGATGCCATTACCCATAATGCATCTTAAAAGTATTTTTCTTTCGACACCCCTGCTTCTTAAATGCTCACTTCTTTGTAAACCACATCCAGTATTACAGGTTTTATGTTCAATCCCATTCCAAGAGAAAAAAATAACCCTGATGACACTAAATGAGTCCCAACATCTTAAATTAACTGAAGAGAAAACGCCTTATACTGTAGGTTGGAGAAGGTCAAGTTAAATGAAACGTGCTTTAATGCCTATGAAAGGAGTTTAATAACTGTGTACTTACATTTTACCAAAGCCTTTGTCTTCCAGCCAAGCTTTCACTTCTGCAGGCTTGGATTTCTTTGTCAGCACAGGAGGACCCCCAGGCGCCTGCTGAAAAAAGGAATGATATTGCTCTGTTTTTACTGAAATATAAAGATAGAGAGTAATTCAAGGACACTCTGAGAAATATGGAAGCAGGTTATGGAATACAAATGTTCAAAGTTGTGCATGAATACCAATATTTCTGATTGAGGTGTCTCGCATTAATACTAAGTCACAGACGACCTGCGGTGTGTTTGTGGTGCTCACCTCCATCTGTTGTTCATCATAAACCTCCAGGACATTATTGGGAACATAGCCCTCCTGCCCTGCGCTGTCCCTCACTTTCCACCACTGCTTCGACATGTCCAGCAGCTGTAGATGGAAATCAGAGCCAGTGTCTTAATGAGTTGTGTTCATCGTTATCTTTTGTTTTAACCCTTTTGTAACCAATTCCACTCAAACATCAAGAGTCGGTTCACTCACCTGAACTACTTCTCCTTTTCTCACGGTGAGCTCTCTTTGGTTTCTTGAGATGAAGTCATACGTAACATACATGTCACGCGTTGGCGACTGAACAAAGCTGAAATACACAAAGGGCATCTAAAATGTTAAACTTCGAACAATCACCTGGATTTTTATTTATTCTTTATGGGTTTGTTGTACCGTGATGATTTTTTGGGGCGATGAGCTGGTGTTATACTCTTGGCTGGAGCCTGCACGAAAAAATAAAACATGGTCGTGTTATGTTTGAATATTTTCTCCCTTTTTCTCTCCCAAACCACTCTCTGTGCAGATGTTGAACTGAATGTCTGATCTGGAGGAGTAGCCTACCTGGTAGGGTGCAGGTTGTTGACGCTCCTCTCTTCTCATTGGTTCACTGGGTTCAGGTGCTGCAGTCACCTCAGGGGCCTGCCAGCCGTCAGAGAACTCCAGAGTGTATGTTGGGATGTCCTCGTCGTCTTCTGGCCATTGGGTGCTGATCATATTGTCAAAATCATGACCGATTGTTATCTTGACACTTATCAGTCTGACATATTTTAGTAAACCAAACTGAAGTGATGGAGGAAATACTCAAATACTATACTTAAATAAAAATATCAATACATCAAAGATAAAGCTAATTACAAGATACATTCTGCCTAATTAGGTAAATGTACTTAAGTTTTATAAGGCAGGAAAACTAATAGTATCCAAAGTAAATATATTTATATAGTAAAATCTGAATTGTACTGTTGTAGCCCTTTTGAACTACTTTGTGTCCATAAGTGTTGACACTAACTTAAAGTAAAAATCCTTCAAAACTGATCTTTGAAATGTATTAAGTTACTTTTCTGAGATGGGGCTAATGTTTTGGTCTCATGCAAATGAAAAGAGAAAGCTACAGTTCATCAGGTCCCACACTGTCCGTTGTCTCACCTGGGGATGTTCCAGGCGTCTCCCAGAGACTGCCACAGCTGGTCCTCCTCTGTGGACGCCTCCTCACTCAGCAGACGGATACACTGAGGCGTCAGCAGCGGCGCCACGATGGTCTTCAGCAGATCTTCAGGGCAGTGAGATACCAGCTGGTGAGGAAACAAATAATTAAGAAGGCATTAGTTTTGTATTAGACAGGTGCCACAGAAAGCGCACAATGAACTACAGCTCCATCATGATGGTCTGATAGTCTATGAGTCCCCTTCTAATGTCACATGCAGGGCAGGCTAATTAGAATACTGTATAACACCCAAAACTGGGTGTCTCCAAATTTGGCTTGTAAACTAACGTTGCAATAGGGCACCATTATTTTCCTGTAAATCAATTGGGAGGACTTGAAGATACTGGTGCCAAAACAAAGCGTTTAAGAAAGAGTGTTTATGAACATTAAAACATGTACTAGTAGAAACACATAGTACAAGTATTAACTGGAAAAATGAAATTGTGCTCAATAACAACAGAACATAGTAATCTAGTATTCAAAAGAAAAACTAAAATCTCATCAGATCCTAAAGATACTCAATAATATGAAGATAAATAATAAAGTATGTGATATAAAAGGGTTTTAAATGCATGCTCATTATCAATTTATCTATTTTAAAACATTATCTGTTTTTAAGTTATTTCGTATTAATTGAAGAGAGTATTGGAATTACGAGATGAAGTCACTTACGAATGTTAATATGGAAAATAAGGAGTGAACAAATTCAGGAGCGCTGGGATTGTTAATCCTTCCATTGAGCTCCCCCTGTCAAGAGAAATATTTCACTGTTACACAAACTGTACACTACAAAGTGAACAGTAGCAATACTGAACATGATTATATAATATGAATGTGATTAAGGACACATACCACCAGGTTGAATCCACATTTGATCTTATGGAAACACTCTTCAAACTCTGCTGCAGGTGGCATACCGTCTAGGGCTAAAGAAAACAAATAAAAACACGATGACTCACAAGTTTTCAGAAGTCATCCAAAACTGTCATAGTGTGGCACGCCATTAAAAGTCATAAAAAGTCATGCTGTAGATTATGTCATAAGTAAAGTTATATAAAAGTCATAGCAACACAGAATTCATATACATGTCCGGCCCATCTCAAATCTCCCCTTTTTGTCAAAAATACTTGAACGTGTCAACTTAAATCCCACCTCAGCTCCAATGACCTCTTTGAGCCATTTCAATCCGGTTTCCGATCAAAACACAGCACAGAAACAGCTCTTCTGAAAATCACAAACGACCTCCTCCTCTCCTCTGACTCCGGCAACCTGAACATCCTCATCCTCCTCGACCTCACTGCAGCATTCGACACCATCAACCACACCATCCTGCTGTCCCTTCTCGAATCATCACTCAACATCACCGACACTGCACTCTCCTGGCTGAAATCCTACCTCACCGACAGACATCAGTTTATCAACATCAACAACTGCACCTCCTCCACTGCTCCTCTGTTCCAAGGGTTCGGTGCTTGGCCCCCTCCTCTTCATCCTCTACATGCTCCCCCTTGGCAAAATAATTTGTCGCTACAACCTTCAATTTCACTGCTACGCCGATGACATCCAACTTTATATCTCAACAAAAACCATCACCCCCACAACACACTCCACTCTCACCAACTGTCTCAGAAATAAAAACATGGATGCAAACAAACTATCTCCAACTGAACAGTGCCAAATCAGACATCATCATCATCAGCCCCCCATCCCGTACCAAAGACATCCAGAATTTAAACTTCACCATTGACAGCCATACTCTATCCCCCCCCCTCACATCCACAACCTCGGAGTCATCTTCGACAGTCAGCTCAAATTCAACCACCACATCAATCACATCACCAGGACCGCCTTTTTCCACCTCAAAAACATTGCCCGTCTCCGCCCATCACTCTCCTCCTCTGCTGCTGAAACCCTGATTCATGCATTCATCACTTCACGACTCTACTACTGCAATATCATCCTCTACGGCATACCATCCAACCTAATCAATAAACTCCAACATATCCAGAACTCTGCTGCCCGCCTCGTCACCCACACCCGCTCCCGAGACCACATCACTCCCGTCCTCCAGAACCTCCACTGGCTTCCCGTCCGTCAAAGAATCAACTTCAAAGTCCTCCTGATTACTCACAAAGCCCTCAACAATCAGGCCCCCCCCTACCTCACAGACCTGCTGCACCATCACACCCCTTCCCGCTGCCTCCGCTCATCAGAAGCCAACCTCCTATCCATCCCCACCCGCATCAATCACCGGACCTGGGGGGACAGAGCCTTCTCCGCTGCTGCCCCCTCCCTCTGGAACTCACTCCCACAACCCATCAGAGACTGCACTGACCTCACCACCTTCAAAAAACTCACAAAAACTCACCTCTTCAATCTGGCTTTTAATGTGTGATTGTTTTTGTATTATTTGACTTTAACTTTAACTATATATTTATTTGTTGTTCCTTTCTTTTCTTTTCACTATATCTGTAAAGCGTCTTTGAGCACCTGTAAAAGCGCTAACAAAATAAATATATTATTATTATTATTATTATTATAATACAGTATGACTCAAAAGTTTCATAACACATGTCGCAGTGTATTCATAACTGATGATATGTTGTATAAAAACTAATTTGGAGTCTGTAATATGTTAATAAGGTTTGCACAATATAGAAATTGATCATATTAAGAAACTGTATGTCCTTTTGGTGCCCAAGGAGGGCATGAATGATTAATCCTGGTGTACAACAGCTGCAGTTATGTAAGCATCTCCATGTATGTTCTATTGATGTTATGTATGAACAAACAAACAAAAAGTTAAGAAAGAAAAAGTAGAAAAGAAAAGAAAAACTAATTTAGAATATTCCAGTATTGACTGAGTGCTATCATTTAGAAACAGTCTACATGTCTACCTTTCTTCACCTCATTCATTTACCTTTTCCTTTTTTCTTTTTCTTCTTTTTCTTTGCATTTTTCGCTACTACTGCAGACACTTTTCCCATGAAGATTTCTATGTCACCTAAAATATGATTCAAGATGTCCTGTAAAGAAGATGGATAAAGAAAGTCATTTTCACATTCTTCTGCTCTTGAATATAATTAACATGTAGAATAATGTATTAAAAAACAAAATGAGGCATTAATAATGATGATCAAATATACACTTACTACATTCCTGTCCAGGTCTGTGTATGGACGTTGGCTCGACAGAGGTTCTTCTTCGGTGGTGGAGGGCTGCGGTGACGGTGCCCTCTCTCTGGGAGGTGGGTCCTCCTCTTCCTCCTGATGTACAACTGGTTGAGGCTCAGGTACGTCATACTCCTCTATAAGCACAAAGAGACAGACGGTTGGTATTGATTTTGACCTCATAAGCAATATCAAACCCTTGTGTATCTCACAGACTCACCATAGTCAGGAGCCGTCCATTGGGGGGGCCTTTGCTCTTTTGGTTCAGAGAAATCTTCACCGTTACTAAGGTTTTCCATTCCCTGATGTCTTGCTATTGGTCCTGCATTGCTGCTTTAAACAATGTTAGAGGTCATCAATCAATATACACACATACAGTAGTTTCAGGTATGTCTTCTCTGACTTCAAGCTCTTACCTGATGCCTAAATCATGTTTCCTGCGTGACAATGCTGCTGAGAGATCCCTTTGGACATAGTCAGCCTGTAAGCAGCAGGAAAAAATGTACCCACTTATTTTGTTTCAGTTCATAGTAGTTGAAATAACAGCCATTTTTAGGATTTTGTGCTCACCCTGATATCCTCACACTGAAACATGAAGACGGTGGTGGTGTGTTTCCCCTCGGGCCGGACAGACACTGTGAGCAGGGAGTTAAACACGCCGGCGTCCAGCACCGCCTTCAGCTCCAGGATGTCACTGAAGGACATGGACTCCAGTTCCTCCTGAGAAAACAGGTTGTTATTCACATGAACCACGTCATGGACCACATACATAAATTAAGGCAAAACTCAGCTGCTTTTGTCCATCATCTTCAAGTAGTTAAAAATAAGTTTCTTGTATCAAAGCACTCTCAATTAAGAAAGAACTCCAGATAATACAGTATATTAGTGAGATTCTGGGCTGCGACAAAGCTCTATAACAGCTTTAATTCTCCTTCGTGCCAATTTGGGACATTTGCAGAAAGACAGTCTTAATTATAGAGGTGTATGTCATCTGCTTAGAAGTTCAAACAGATGTTAAGTTTGAAGAAAACTGAACTTACAGACAGCATGTACACTACTGAGGCAGGTACATTAGTATTCTTTGAACAAACAGGATTTTCCTCCTTTGTTCACTAAAAACCTCTACATTTATAAAAAGGGGGTGTGATTGACTTGAATAGTGTTCAGTTGAACTAAGATCTGGTGACTGTGAAGGCTGTAACATAGGATTCACATCTGTTTGCTATGCTGGTCTAATCACCCAGTGAACCTTTATACCCTGGGTAGGGTCCTCCTCATCCTGGAGGAGACTACTCCCAGCTGATGTGTGTTTCTGTGGGCATCACATGCTGCTGACCTTGGTTTCTCTGTCTGTGAGCAGCAGGTTTGCTCCTCGCACCTCCAGCCTCATGTTCTGACCCCAAACTCGGCCCATACCGTCCAGAAGCTTCAGCCGCTCCACACAGTCCCCCACGCCTCTCAGCTCCTTCCCATCCAGGTCACAGGTGAACAAGTGCTGCAGCATGGAGGGATTCAAACACAACATCAAACAAGGCATGATTCAGAGAGGATCATATTTGTTTGGAGATTATTTCGAAGGTTACCTCCACTCTGTACCGTAATTTGTCCATCATCTTGTTTACTGACTCTGCATACTCCTTCCTTTGCACTGTTGATCATAAACCAGAGCTCTTATTATTTATGAAGTTTAACTGAACAGGTGTAACCACTCTTCATGTTGAGTTTTAACTTACAGTAAACTGACATGGCACTGAGCTTCGACACATTTGACGCCTGCGATGACACATCATCCGTGTTGGAGAAACCACTGTCACAGAAAATAAAACAAAATACAATATCAATCATCTGCTGATGAATAAATGAAATAAAACAATCAATCAAAAACAAAAAGATTGTGAAATCCATACTTGGACCGGATGGATCCAGCGTAGCTGCTGGTGTCATTGTCAAAGGGACTGTTGCTCCTGAACATCTTGTCCACTCTCACACACACCTGCCTTATCATAGATGACATTAACAACACACACCGTACATTATGTCAGTGCTACGAGCTGCGTCAGAAACTTGCATCTGAAATAAATATTGGATTAAGGGAGTTTGTAGTCCATTAGTGTTCATTAAAGCTGGTTGTAGCTTTGAGAACATTGAGTTAACAAATGTACTCAGCTAAGTGAGCCTTTGCTCAAACAACACCTGGTTGTTATCGGTGAATGTAAAATTAATGAATGGGTCTTGAAATCATAAACTGGTCATAGTCACCTAGCAACACAAAGAGATTGGCAACCTTACGACAAAAATGTCGATGAAAACAGTCCAAAGGTAAATGCTCTGTTTGAATATAATACAAATAAACACAACATACTTCAGTACGAATCGTTAGGCTAATTTCGGAGTAATCTGAAAAGTGTTGTTCTGTTCTCAGATTTCTAATTACTTTGAGGAGTATGTGGAAGATTATTCTGTAGATGTTGTTTGAATTGTGTTAAATGAAATGCAAACACACAGCAAGCCTTTACTACAGATTATTTAAACAAACAGCGAAGAAATATCGAGTGTATTGTGGAGATTCGTGTTCAAAAGCTCTTACCTTTGATGTGTGCTAGATGAATGTCGTTAAATGATTTACTGTTTAGTGTGAAAATAACTCATATTTTAATCCTGCTCAGTCCTCCCTCAACGTCTTCCTTATAAAGGAGAATGACAAAGTCCACATCAGTAGCACAGCAATCTGTGGGACACTGAGTCGACTCAGTTAAGGGTGTGAGATCTTTAGTGTGGCATCCCATCTGAGCAAAGGTTACCAGATACGGAGGAAATCACCCTGGAAAAGCTTAAAGGTCTCCAGGTCTATAAATAGACTTGAAATGCCTTATCAGCATTTTTCTCATTTTCCATCTTCCATTTTTGTGAGATTACAAGTATTGAGCAACAATGCTCAGTCAGCTCATATTTATTTATCTTCCTAATCTAAAATGACGATTAGTATGGGCCTATACATGTGTGAATCCTGTCATAGATAACTGCCTACAACACGGCAGGTACATGTTATAGTGAATAAAACAGATCTACAGTGAAAGAAGAGATAAAATGTTCAGTTGATTGCTAAATGTATTACAAACTAAGGGCAGTCATATCTTTGTAACACTTTCCTTCTGTTGCAATTTCTTGATAGCAGCGTATGACAAAGTCTCTTTTGAATCTACCACGTCCAGTTTTGTATTAATCTAATGTACATATGGGGCTGATACTAAAGAAAGAGCTCAGAGAGAACATTTGAAACGTCTAGTTGCAGTACTTCTTATCTCCGTCACACCGTGTAAACTACTTGGCAGACTGGCTCCACAATAAAACAACCACAGGCCCTTCCTTGTTTTTTATGTCACTCTGTCAAACATTAACCAGAATACATTCCTCAATGATGTAATGGACACAAGGTAAACAACATGCCCATATTTAGCCCAAACCTAAAGTTATGTGTGAAAATGATATAAAATAGAGATCTAACATGGGTCACCTATTCATTTTAATACCTAAATGTAAGGTGATGAAAAACTTGGAAAATGTACAGAAATCCAGCCTGTTAAGCAGTAGTGGAATTATATACATCAAGGACTGAAGTTAGACTTTTACTTTCTATTCCCACAAACTATGAGAACATGCTCAAAGTTGCATCATATATTAATCTGATTTACCAAACAGTATGAACTATTGTTAAGATCTACCGTGACGAGTAACACGGTCACAAGATTACATTCTAGTTTCAAGTTAATGCCTGATGAGTACCTTTACTTTTAAAGCTTTATTTACATCATGTTGAGCTAACACTATTTCCTTACTTTTTCTTAACCAAAACAGCTTCCAATCTGAAGTATGAAATATGTTTATCAGAAACTTATACTGTTTTTAAGTGAAAAAAGGGTGCGCATATATTTCAATTAAAATAAAAAAATATACATTTTTACTAACATCACTTGGACCATAGTTTAATGCTTAAATGTGTTAAACAAACAAAACAACACTTTAAGGTATTCATATGTAGGTTAGGTTATTACTAAGAAACAACAATACTTCAAAAAGTAATCATGAATATAAACTTCAAGCTTACATGCATTGATTTATTTTCCCCCCAAAATGCGAAATGTATACCAAATTGTAATTTATCTGAATTCAACAATTCAGGAAATTCAACAATTCTGGAAACACAAAGTTAGGATTTAGATATTTACATTTATTATATTATACCATATCAGAACAACTAGCACAACATAATAATAACTTACATTAATACAGTCAACACACAGACGTGTGTTTCTAATATTTTCCAGCATTTTTGTAGACACACTGTGACATTGTCTACATGTCCGGGTCAATGGTCAGCTGGTTGATTAGGTCTTTGTAGTAGACAACGTTCTTCTCATGGTCAGCCAGTGCTGTCAGCATCTCATCCACCTCCTCCTGGGTGAAGAGCTCACCTGGTTTACACAAAAACAACACAGCCATGGTTTCAAAACTGTTTGTACATTATAAGATGTTTTGAAAAATTAGTAGGGGGAATGTAAGACACACAAAAAATATCTATGAGATGATCTGCTCCAACAAGTCACAAAGTAAAACCTGAAGGCTTCTGCTTTTACCTTCCTGTGTCATGTACTTTGTCAGCTCCTCATGCTCTAGGTATCCTTTCTTCTCTTTGTCCAGAACCTGGAAATATAGAGTTATTGATTTTATGCTTTAACAAATATCAGTTACTCTGATGTTAGTGTCACTCTGCTGACAGTATGATATCTGCAGAGACTCGAAGGGTCTTACTCCAACTTTATTTATATACTGTTCAGACGCGGGAACTACAACACTGGAGAATATGAGTAAACAGCTGATCTCACCTCAAAGGCCTGGAGCAGGAGGTCCTCGGGGATCGGAGGGAACCTAACACACACACACACACGTACATTTACCCGCATAGAAAAGCAAATCTTTAAAGAAGGTGGCATACATTATTGAAAGAGATCTGACATGTCATCTTCTTGGGTGGCAAAACAAGCACCTGAATGTTTAATGATCAACAACAGGTTACAGTGGAAGACCTTTTTACTACACATTAATTCAGTGAAATCCTTCAGTAGCTATCCTCATTAGATACCAAACATCAGTACTGGCATCAGTCAAGCGGGTGTATTGGAGATCAAATAACTGTCTTACTTGTGCTCCAGCAGCACTTTACTCATGACCGGGAGGAAACTGTCCAAGTGGATGTATCCTGTTTGGTCCTCTTCAACCTGGTTGAACAGGACACAGCTAGTGAGTTTGGAACTTTTAACAACAAGCTGAGACATTTCTAACATAACTGATATCATATTTTAGTAAGTAGATGCAATTTCAAGCAATCTATACATGTAAGTCACCATAACTATTATAGACAAAATATTGAAAAAACGATGTTCTGACCTCAGCTATTAAGTCGTGTAGGTCTGCTTGAGAGGGAAAGCAACCCAGGGAATATATGATGGTGCCAATCTCTCTGGAAAACAAACATCATGTTAGAGACCACACTATTAACTGCGTATACGCCCCTCACCTCATTAGTAAGTGTTTATTTGATTAGAAGTGTAATAAGATTACATGTTTTAATCACTGTGTTTAAAGTTATGACCATCAGAGGGGTGGGATTAAACTGGGTGAGAGATTATTTAAGCAACAGACAACAATTTGTTGAAATTGGTGAACATAAATCAGAATACATGAACATAACTTGTGGAGTACCTCAGGGGTCCGTGTTGGGTCCAAAGCTGTTCATAATATACATCAACGACATTTGCAGAGTATCAAATATATTGAAATTTATTTTATTTGCAGATGATACTAATATGTTGTGTTCCGGTGACAATTTGAAAGAGCTAATGGAAGTGATAACAGCAGAAATGATTAAAGTAAAACATTGGTTTGACACAAACAAATTATCATTAAATATAAGCAAAACAAAGATTATGTTATTTGGAAAACATAAAACAAATCCACAGATACAATTAATACTAGATAACATACACATAGAAAGAGTATATGAAATTAAGTTCCTTGGTGTGGTTTTAGACCACAAAATCAGCTGGAAACCTTATATCACTCATGTAAAAGCAAAACTGGCTAAAACTATCGCAATATTGGGAAAAGCCAGATACATTCTGGACTACAACTCATTGCATACTTTATATAACACACTAATATTGCCATATCTGATTTACTGTGTGGAGATTTGGGGAAACACGTACAAAACCAACCTACAGCCGTTATGCACATTACAAAAAAGGGCTATAAGAGTTATCAATAATGTTGGATATCTTGAACACACTAATGTATTATTTTTGAAGTCACACATATTGAAGTTCATTGATCTGGTTAAATTTAAAACGGCACAAATCATGTACAGAGCCAGACATAATCTACTTCCTGGAAATTAAAAACATTGTTCGTAGACAGAGAGGGTGGGTATACTTTGAGAGGAAATCTACATTTTAAACAACTCAAGGTCAGAACAACTCTGAGAAGTATGAGTTTAACAATCTGTGGGGTGATTTTATGGAATGGTTTGGAGCAGGAGTTAAAACAAAGCACACGCATAATTCAGTTTAAAAGGATGTACAGAAACACTTTTTTGGAAAACTATGAGAATGAAGAGAGGTGATTGAAGATGAGAAATTATTGTATATGTATGTATAAATGTAAATGTATGTAGGAATAACTTGCATAATGATTTAAAGGACAATCATTGATCAAGTAAGGGGTGGGAATTAATAAGCATTTGCTTCCTCCTACTCCCTTTCGGACACATATGATTTATTATTATTATTAATATGAAGACATTTTTTGTTTTTTTGTTGAATATACAAATATTACCATGAATGTGGATAAATACTGTATTATAACAATGCGGTATTCTGTTTTTCACATTTGTTATTTGTTATTTTGTAATCTGTTCGAAATAAAGACTGAAAGAAAGAAGAAGAAGAAAGGGTTCAGAGAAGTGTGTTTTTACATTACAAAAGTCTGGTGTATCAGCCCAGGAGAACAATGGGATCCCCACCTCTCTCTGTACTGCCAGAGCTCACCTGACATCCACCGTGTTGTTAGACTCATAATCAAACGCTTCAAACGCTGCTCTGATCTTCTTCTGGACATCCGACACTGTGGCTTCTAAAGAGTAAAGAGAGGTGAGTGTTATCCTACTACTTTCTCTCTCAACCACATTTTGAAAAGTCAATACATTTTTATAAAGATGTGTTATAGATTTAATATGTTCCAGGTTTCATTTAATAAAAGTTGCAGTAAATACATTTTGTATACACATAATATAAAACAAACATAAATTGTACAAAACATAAAAAATGTAAGGAAATGAAATGAGGATAACAGAACTGAAATGTAGTATAATATAAATAATACATAGTTGTTGTTTTTTTAAACAATATTGCAATATAACACTGTGCAAAACATACTTAAACCATCACCCTGCAGTTACATTGATTTTAAATGTTTATTAATGATTGCTTGCCACTTAAAGGTAGGGTAGGTAAGAATGGAGAAACCAGCTCGAGTGCGCTAGAATTTGAAAGTACGCAGCCGAAATACATCTTCCTTACAGAGCACGAGATGGAAGGCTGACAGGCAGGTAGGCCATCCAGTTACTTTAGCCAGGCCAGCTAAGATGATTGGTCGTGCTTTTTACAGCGCCACGGCTTCCACAGATGACT